TAATGGAGTGTGGTTGTCGCGCGACGGGCCTGGACTGAGGTTTGGGGAAATGTCGAAGCGGATGCCCGAAGCGCGGGTTACCTGCCGAGCCGTGAGGTCGGGGTGCGACGTGCGAAGGTGGCGGGAGGATTGTTGATGCGAGGGTTGCGAGTGGTAACGGTGCCGACTGTGGTGCCACAGTGGTGTACGCGCTGAGCGGGGACGCGAAGTAAGGAAAAGGAATTTTCCTTACACCACGCCAGAAAAATGAAGTAACACACGCCCTAAAACCACGCCACGCAGTACCGACTTCGCCAAAACAATCATTTTGAGAGTGCATTTGCCGCAGAAAATACTGGCAGAGGTCTGCGCAGGGCTGTACAGAAGCTACTCTGCGTGACGACACCTCACCGCGCCCGCTCGCGCACCTCGCCGCGCCACAAGTCGTCGCGCCGCCTTTCCTCCCTTGTAGCGCCCTCCCTCCTTTCTTCTCGCCTCTCCCATCGTCGCGCCGCCCCTCCTTTTCCCTCGTCGCGCCTCCCCCCGTCGTCCTCTCTGCTGCAGCAGAGCTGGTAGCGGCGCAGAAGGCTGTCGTTGAAGCCGACTCGTCGGCCGCACTAGGGTCTGCCCATGTCTCTTACCATAATGCTTCGCGCCGTGTACGTCGCGTGCTCTCAGACTCCAAGACCACTCTCTCCGACTCGCGCGGGCTTTGACAATGCCAGAATCGGGGGGCGAACCGACCCCGTAAATCTCACGGACTCCTTCTTGAGGGCTGATTCATTGAAAGCGGAGTCGTTCAATGCTCGCACCGATCCCTGCAATTGTACTGATAGGTTAGGGGCGAATACGGATATCAACGTGACTAGTAGCAGCAATGACATACGAAATGACGTCAGCGGTGACGCTGGGGATGACGACAGAATCCCGCTGGACCCGCTATGTGATATGCGGCCGTCGCTCATTGGCTCCACGTGGTAGCGCGAGTCGTGGCGGCGGAAGAAGCGGCCGGTGAAGACCCCGCGCCGGAGAAGGTGCGGCCGTCGCGGTGGAGAAGATCGCGACGACGTGGAGCAACGACCGCCGACGGCGCCGCGACGGCCATTGGATGGTCCAAGGCAGCCGGGAAACAAGCCTCACCAGTAGCTTCGGAGCGAGTTGCTGGTGGTGAGGAGTGCCCCACCTTGCTGACTCCATCCTCAACGCCGCTGCAGCAGGAGTCGGAAGGAGCCATAGTACTTCGGGGGCAGATTCGTGGTAAGGAGGTAAAGATGTTGCTGGATAGTGGTGCTTCATCCAATTTCATTTCTTCTCGGCTGGTGCATGAATTGAAGTTACCTGTGCAGAGCAGTACAGTGGAGAGTACGGTGCGCATGGCGGATGGTGTAGTGAGGAGCTGTGGACCTGAGTTGTACCCGGTCAACTGCAACATAGGGGAGTTTCATGGAAAAATCCCTTTCCAACAGATCTGGCTTGACGGTCATGACATCATCTTGGGAAGGAATTGGTTGGCAGCAGTGAACCCTCAGGTGGATTGGAGAACCAGGGAGGTGAAGGTGCTGTTTGGGGGGAGGTTTGTTCGCCTACCAGTGGTGCAGCAGCAGGAAGGGATGACCTTGCAGCTGATTAGTGCGAAGCAGTTTGGTAAGGCCATTCGGGGGGAGGAAGCAGTTTTTCTAGGTCTCATCACAGAGGTCCAGCCTACATCACCTGACGCAGTAACACCAACGGTTTCAGCATCACATGAGGATGAGGAGTTAACACGGGGTGTAGAGAAGCTGCTGGAATTTTTTTCAGGGGTGTTTCCCGAGGACTTACCGGCTGGACTTCCTCCTAAGCGAGCTGCAGATCACAGGATAGAGTTGATTCCTGGATCTACCCCACCGGTTAGACCGACCTACAAGATGAGTGCAGTGGAGCTGAAGGAGCTGAAGAAGCAGTTAGAGGATCTGTTAGCTAAGGAGTTCATTCAGCCTAGTTCTTCTCCGTACGCTTCTCCGGTGTTGTTCGTGCGGAAGAAGGACGGTTCTTTGCGGATGTGTGTAGATTACCGCGGGCTGAACAAGATAACAGTGAAGAACTGATACCCACTGCCACGGATAGATGAGCTGTTTGAGCAAGTTGGTGAGGCACGGTACTTCTCGAAGCTGGATCTGCGTTCGGGGTATCATCAAGTGCGGATTCAGAATGAGGACATCCCAAAAACAGCTTTCCGAACATGGTACGGACACTATGAGTTTCGAGTGTTGCCCTTTGGTCTCACCAACGCTCCAGCCACTTTCCAAGGCATGATGCAGAGCATTTTCAGTGATTTCATTGACAAGTTTCTGGTGGTTTTCATTGATGATTTGCTGGTTTACAGTCGCACTCGTGAGGAGCACCTAAAGCACCTTGAGCTGGTCCTTGCACGTCTGAGTGAGCACAGATTGTATGCCAAGCGTTCAAAGTGTGAGTTTGCAAAGACCAAGCTGTCTTTCTTGGGTCATGTCATTTCACATGAGAAGCTGGAGGTAGACAACAGCAAGGTAGCAGTCCTGAAGGAGTGGAAGCAGCCGAGTACAGTGAAGGAGGTGCAGGCTTTCTTGGGGTTAGCTAACTACTACCGGCGGTTTGTGAAGGGATTTGCAGCAGTGGCAGCACCTCTGACCGATCTCTTACGGAAGGACGCATCATTCAGTTGGGGACCATTGCAGCAGCAAGCTTTTGAGCAGCTCAAAACTTCTCTTACTTCACCCCCTGCCCTAGCAGTACCAAATCCAGAGCTCCCATACTTCATTTGGTGTGATGCATCAGACGTTGCCCTTGGAGCAATTCTCTGCCAGGAGCAGGAAGCTGGGTTGCAGCCAATAGCCTTTGAGTCACGGAAGCTCACTGCTGCAGAGCGCACATACCCCATTCACGAGAGAGAGGCACTTGCTGTGGTGCATGCACTGAAGAAGTGGCGCTGTTATGTGGAGATGCAGCCCGTTACAGTCTTCACTGATCACCGAACACTGGAGTACTTGAAAACACAGTCACAGATCACACCACGGCAGGCGCGGTGGGTTCAGTTTTTGGAGCAGTACGTTCCCAATCTTCAGATTGTGTACAAACCAGGGCGCTTCAATCCGGCGGATGTTCTGTCACGGCCAGCAGCAGAGGAGCTGAATGTCATGGGAGTGGTTACATGGGACCGCAACTTCATCACTCGTTTCAGCCGTGGTTACAACCGTGATCAGCTGTACCAACAGAAAGCCCCCCATGACCCATCCTTTCTTTTCAGCAATCCCTTTTGGACCCGTGCAGATTCTGGTGGTGTGTGTGTACCTGATGACTCCAGGCTTCGCCAGCTGCTACTACACGAGTACCATGACAACCGGTCACACTTCGGCAGTGACAAGACATATGCTGCCATTTCTCGTGACTACTACTGGCCTGGACTGTCCCGGAGTGTAGCAGAGTATGTTTCTTCATGTCCTACCTGTCAGGTCAACAAGGCTCGCACCACTGCACCGGCTGGTCTGCTGCAACCATTGGAGATACCCACAGCCCCCTGGACTTGTGTTTCTCTGGATTTTATCACAGACCTACCCCGCACCCCTACAGGCTTTGACAGCATTCTCGTGGTCATTGACAAGCTGTCCAAGATGGCTCACTTCATCCCTGCACAGTGACTGCTGCTGAAACTGCCAAGCTGTTTTTCACACAGGTGGTGAGGCTACACAGACTGCCCGCAGCCATAATCAGTGACAGAGACACACGGTTCCTCAGCAACTTCTGGACTGCACTGTTTCAACTGTTGGGCACACAGATTCGACTCTCTACAGCCTACCACCCTGAAACTGACGGTCAGACAGAGCGCATGAACAGAACCTTGGAGGATGCGCTACGCTCGTGTGTGAATTCCATGCAAACTGACTGGGATCAGCACTTGGCAGCAGTGGAGTTTGCCTACAACAGCAGCCCCAACATTGCCACGGGAGAGCCACCGTTTCTTTTAGCTACTGGACAGCTACCACGCTCAGTCACATCCCTCCCTCACCCTCTTCATTCCCCTAACCCCACAGCAGCAGATTTCATCTCTTCTCATCACCGCATTCTCCAACTTGCCCGAAGGAAGCTTCAGCTTGCACAAGAGCGCCAAGTTCGCTATGTCAACCAGCATAGGCGTCACACCACTTTCAGAGTTGGTGATTTGGTGCTGCTTTCAACGGCTAACCTGCCCCTGCTGAATGCTGGAACGTCTCGCAAGCTCGCACCCAGATTCGTTGGACAATTCCCCATCACCAAGGTTCTCTCATCGGTCAGCTACCGCCTTCAACTTCCTCCTCACATGACCATACACCCTGTTTTCCATGTTCACCTTCTTCGACCTTACCGTACTCCCTCTCACCCATTCCAGCCCCGTCCACCCATGCTCTCTGCCCATCCGGACCTGCATGAGGTCGAGACCATCCTCTCACACCGTGACACCCCGGTTGGCCGTGAATACCTCATTCACTGGCGCAACACATCTGCATCTGAAGATTCATGGGAGCCGTTCTCCAACCTCAGCCATGCTCCTCGTGCCATTGGAGTCTATCTTGCCTCATTGGCACCGAGGACGGTGCCTTCAGGGAGGGGAGACAATCCAATGAAAAATTTCCAGCAGCTTCTCTACACCCCGTGTTAACTCCTCATCCTCATGTGATGCTGAAACCGTTGGTGTTACTGCATCAGGTGATGTAGGCTGGACCTCTGTGATGAGACCTAGAAAAACTGCTTCCTCCCCCCGAATGGCCTTACCAAACTGCTTCGCACTAATCAGCTGCAAGGTCATCCCTTCCTGCTGCTGCACCACTGGTAGGCGAACAAACCTCCCCCCAAACAGCACCTTCACCTCCCTGGTTCTCCAATCCACCTGAGGGTTCACTGCTGCCAACCCATTCTTCCCAAGAGAATTTCCTTAGAAGCAAGGAAGAACAAACAGAAAGAGAAACAGCAACTACTCTCTAATTCCTACGAATGCATTTTTATATGTACAGTACATTTACAATTCAGACATGCGGCTCGGAATGTCGATTCGGGTGGCCAGCCCCAACATCGAGCCGCATTCCATATTTCTACTCACGTTTGTACACCTCACTGCACCCACACACGTGTTACATTTCTATTCCTCCAAGTCTGGACTTTCGCCACCTGTCCCACGCGGAAGTCCCCCCAAGTCAGTCAAGGCACGAAACCTCAGTTTCGCCCTTCTCACGTGGGTCCCCCACGTCCTGCTCACTTCCGTCCCTTTGCTGCCCACGTTCGCAGTTGCACGCCGCTGCTGCATGCTTTCGCCTCCCGTGCGCTTCACGCTGCCCCCAGTGCAGACCCCACTTGTTACAACACGCCGGTAAGCCTCACACAGAGTACGCCTAGCGGTGCGCCGTGCAACGCGAATTTAGTTCCATGACGATGTGATGGCACGTGGGCCGAGAAGGCAATAGGGTGGGTGGGATCTGAAGCGCAACCTAGGCGCAGTTGATCAATTTCTCCCTCTCCGCGCCAACGTGCCCCCTCCGTCTTCTCCCCTTCCCTCTCCCTGCTTTCCCCACCACACTACCTCCCCCCGTAGTGCCCCATCTCCGCCTCCCCGCTTCCGTCGTCACCCCATCGCGCTTCCCCGCGCGCGCTACCATTTCCCCGTGCGCGCTACCCTGTTCGCTCTCCAGCGACCAAGTCATCTCCACCGCCCCCTTCCTCGCCCCCCCCTCTTCTGCTCGCACTTCTTCCCACGCTTCCCCCCTTTCCTTGCCCGCCCCCCTCCTCCTCTCCCCATCCCGTCCTGTCCCTCAGCCGCCCCACCATCGCGCTGACCCCACCCCTCCTGCCCTCACTGCTCGCCAAACTGCCCCTTTTGCCCCCATCCCCTTTCTGTACAAAATTCTGTCCGCTTGGCTTCTCCTCCCCTCCCCCCCTCCACCCCTCTCCACTTCCCCTTTCCCCCGTCCCTTCCCCCCGCTCCCTCAGTGCGGCATCCCCACTTGTCCCCGCGCGGACCCGCCCTGCCTTGACTGCCGGGGCAGTGGGCGAGTGGAGTGCACCCGCTGCTGCGGCCGAGGAGAGTGTGCTTGGGGGGCTGGAGTGGAGGTGAGGGTTTGGGAACGGCGTGTTGCATGGTGGGCACAGATGAGGTTGCTGGGGACGATGTGATGTGGGACGGGTGGATGGAGTGGTGGGCGCAGCTGGGCAGTGGGCGAAGGGGGGGCGAGGGGGCACCCCATCCCATGGTGGAGGGGCCTGTGTGCTGCGGGGGTGAGGGGAAGTGGGGGAGGGATGGGGACGTGGTGGACAGGGGGGGTGGGGGAAGAGGGCAGGAGGAGGGGAGGGGGAAGGTTAGCATGGATACGAGAGGAAGAAGATTGATGGGAAGCACTAGTACGATAGTTGTGTGGGGCAGGAGCGGGTGGATTGAGGAGACTCTTATAAGAGCGGAGGGAAGGAAATGAATGGGATGGCGAGGGAGTGCTGCAACGCATGGGGCACATGAGGTGTGCAGAGGAGGTGGGCAGACGAGGTGGGCAGTGGATCTAGGGGCGTTTGGGAAGACTGGCAGGGACGGGGGGAGGGAGGGGCGTGGAGGAGGAGGGGCGGGTGTATGAGGGGAGGGGTGTGCAGTCTCAATCTGATTTTATTTTCACAGGGGTACTTCTGAGAGTGGGGGACGGCTATGAGGAGAGGCGTAGGGCAGGGAGGAGGAAAGATAGGGAAGAGATGAGAAAGTAGAGGATGGGAGGGGGAGGAGGAAGGAAAGGAGTGTGTGGGATTGAAGGGAGGGGGGTGGAATTGGATAAAGTGAAGCTAAAGGAGTTGGCAACTTGCGTGAGAACGGTGTCTCAAGAGGTCAGCGGCAGCTGAGCAATAAAATATCTCTTCCTTCCATTCCACACATCCCCAGCGATCAGTTGGCTATTTTTTGCATTTGCTTGTTTTCGCCATGCCCATTTTCGTTCCTTTCCACAGTTTTTTCTAATTTCCCGGTGTCTGATTTGTTTTGTGTGGAGCATTGTCATGCTCCTGCCCCAAACGCATGTGATCACGCACTGGCCTGCCTCCTTGAGTAACACGTGCTCCGCATCCGCCCGTCCATCTGCCCGCCCGTCCATCCATCCCATCACTCCCATCCATCCCATCAATCCCATCCCTCCCATCACTCCCAGGGCGCACCAACCACGTGGACCTCGTCATGCTCCCCACCGGCTCCTGGCCGCGCTGGTATGCTCTCTGCCGGTACTCAGAGCATGCTTGCACCCAAAGAGGCCACACAACACCACTGCTTACTGTACACTCTGCCTTTTCACCTGACTGCTTTTGAGTCACTCGCGTAGGATAACAGCCACTCACGACCATCCATATACACATCCCCACACAGAGTAGCGTCGGTATGTGAATGTGCCGGCAGCACTCTGTTCTCAGGGGTTGGTTCCGCAGGGGCAGTGGTGCCGCTATTCCGGCACTGGCTGTGCTTGCCCATCTCTCCGCTCGCCCCCAAACGCCCTCCTCTCCCTCCCTGGCAGGTGCTGGTTCTGCAGGGGCAGTGGGCGGTGCTACTATGCGCGCTGCGTGGGCACGGGGGAGAAGAGAGGCATCATCGGCTTCCACTGATGGCCTTGCATCCATCCATCGCCCGCCACCTTCTCTGCCTGCCTCCTCTCAACATGCCATGCTTTTTGTGTCCTTAACTTGGGGCGGAAGGGACACTGAGCTTTCATACCCATCTGTCAAATGTTGTAGCCTGTAGTGAGGCTTGTCTTGTGGGATACAAATGTTAGGGTTAGGCATATGTACCCCAACCCACATCAATGCAACACACAATTCAGTTTCTGACATGGTATCACCTAGGTTAGGATCCTGTAGGATACCATTCCTCTTGCCCGAGCCTTCCGACCTTCACTCGTCCCGTCCTGACTCGTAGCGCTGCAGTAGCGCCCCTTTCGTATGCCCGTCCACCGCACGCATGCAATCGCGCTTGCCGCAGCGCGTTCTGCCCATTCTCGCACCCATCCCGTCCCGTCCCCCGTCCCGTCGCGCGCCTGCCCTTAGCGCCCGCCGCGCGCCTGCCCTTCGCGCCCGCCGCGTCTGCCCTTAGCGCCCGCCGCGCCTACCCCTAACGCCCGCCAGCGGGCCTGCCCTTAGCGCTCGTCGCGCGCCTGCCCTTAGCGCCGCCGCATCTGCCCATTAGGCCCGCTGCCGCGCCCGCCCGTCAGGCCCGCCGCGGGCCCTGCCTTCACGCCACCGCGCCTGCCCGTTCGCCTCTGCCGCGCCTGTCAGCTACGCCCGCCGCGGGCCCGCCCCTTGCGCCCGCCGTGCCTGCGTTTTGCGCCCGCCGGGGGCCTGCACTCGCTGCCCGCCATCTCTCCCAGTGACACCCGCCGCGCCTGCCCTTACAGCCTGCTGCGGCCCTGCCCTACCTGCCTGCCGTGCCTGCCCGTGCCGCCCGCCGAGCCTGCCCTTTGAGCTTGCCGCCTCTTCCCTTTGAGCTCGTTGCAAGCCTGCCCTTAGAGCTCGCCGCGTCGGCCATTCGCGTCCTCTAGCGTCCGCCACGTGCCTACTTTTGCTCGCGCCTGCCCTTCGCACGCCCACACGCCTCTCGCCCAACCGCTTGTCTCCTTGCCATGCTTGTCGCCCTGCCCTCGCCTGCCACTGCGCCCTGCCGGCCTTGTAGTTTCTGTTTTCGCTATGGCGACCCCTAGGGTCCTTCGCTTTGACGCCGAGGGTAGGCCCCTCGAGTTCTCTATCTGACTCCAGCGTGCGCAGTGTCTCCTAGAGAGTCGGGTACAGGCGAACGAGTCCCTGTGGGCGCACGCTTCCGGTGAACTCCGCGCGCCCCCCGATGCTGATACACTAGGCCTTGACGCTACCCCTAAGGACAGAGAGCGTGTTGCGTCAGCGTGCTGACTTGAAAGCCTGGAGATCACGCGACGCTGCAGCCTGCATCGCCCTCAGCAGCCTCCTCCCTGAGTCCGAGGAGACCCATTTCTCACAGGTTCGCACGGCTAGTGAGTTCCTGACTGCGATCAAGGCCCGCTATGCTACTCCTTCCACTGTCTCTCTTGGTCGCCTGTTCCTCCTCTTCCTGTTTCCTGACCTCGCCTCGTTTAAGCGCTCTGCTGACCTGATCGCTCACCTGCGCTCACTGGACTCTAGCTTTCGTGCTGCCTGTACTGACGCACAGCTTGCACTGCTCCCTCCTCCCATGCCAATCACTATCTATTTCATCACCACTAGCCTCCCTAGCCGCCTTGCTTCGGTTCGTGACGCACTTATTCTGAAGCATTCTAGCGAGCTCACTATCGGCGTCCTTGAGTCTGCTCTCAAGGACGTCGAGAGCAACCTCCGCTCGGTAGCCTCTGCCTCTGGTGTTGTGCCCCCTCCACTGTTTCACGGGTGCACTGTCCCTCAGCTGCCCACCTTTACTGCCTCCCTCGCCACTGCCGCTCCTGACATGACCGTGGCTGCTGTTACAACTTCTTCGCGATCTCGGGGTGGGAGTGGCAGGAGGGGCGGTCAGGGTGCGGGCGGAGGCGACGGAGGCGGCGGAGGCGGTGGGGGTGACGTGGTGAGCGGTGGCGGCGGGAGTGCAGGGGCTGGAGAAGCACCTTGTGCGGCGGCCGGTGACTCCCCTTCTGCAGCTGGTGGAGGTGACGTCCGGGTTCGTCAGCCACCTACTGGTCTGCCAGCCGCGTGGAGCAGTGGCGTGGTACCTGACTCAGCAATAGCAGCAGCAGCAGCAGCAGCAGCAGCAGCCCCTCCCCTTGCAGCAGCCACAGCGACAGGAGCAGCAGCAGCAGGTTTCGAGGCAGGGGTCAGGACAGCGTCAGCTGCAGCGCGGTGTCGTCCACCCTCCTTGCACCTATCACGTTCTGACAGGTGCCCGCCGCGGCCAGCCTTGTGGCCGCAGCCACCCACCGGGTCAGTGCTTTGCTCAGCTTACTGACATGGTTCGGTTGGCCTACGGCGTTGACGGCCCTGCCCCTGACTGGTTTCCCCTTGTTCAGACGTACGGCCCCGCTCTGTGGGGCATGTCGGCTTCTCGGTTAGTTGATCTCTTAGGAACTCCTCATGCTATGTATGCTGTTGTTGACTCTAGTACTTCTTACTCTGTTTACTTGAGTGTTGCTGAGGTGCTAGTCTTGCTGAGGTGCCTGTTGCTGATATAGGTACTTGTGTAGACACTAGTCCAGGAGCTGCTTCGGAGGACGCTTCGCTGACTTTCACTCTGGACTCCGGAGCTCTGCACTGTTTCTTCCGCGACCGCACGACACTTACCCCGCTTCCTACGCCGGTCTCTGTAGCACTGGCTAATCCCACTTCGGGACCAGTCATTGCTCGCTACACTACTACGCTTACGTGCCCGGCTGTTCCCTCAGGTTCTGTGACCGGCTTCCACGTCCCCTCGTTCTCGAGGAACTTGGTGGGCGTGAGGCCACTCGTGAGTCAGCACGTGGGTGTGTGGATTGAGCCTTCTGGCGAGACTGCGGTTTGTGTCGACGGGGACACGTACGCTCCTCTCGCCACCTTTACCGCTGAGCCGGGCTCTGGTCTCTACACACTTCACACTGGCACCTGAGAGCAGCAGCAGCAGCACCAGCACCAGCAGCAACGGCTACTGCCCCCGACCCCTGTCACTGCCTTCCGTCAGGTTCCTGCGTCTCACCAGGTTGTCGCGTCTCCTCAGGTAGCTGTGTCTAGTCAGGTTCCAATGTCTGGTCCAGTTGCTGCGTCGTGCTTTTGCCGGTCACTTGCCCACCCCACCATTCTGTGGCACCACCGGATGGGGCACCCGTCCATTTTTCGCCTGCGCACTATGTCTAGTCAGCGTCTTGTCTTAGGCCTCCCGCGAGTCTTGCCGTCGCTGCCGCCTTCGCTTGCACCACCTTGCGGTCCTTGCGTCGAGGGTCGGCTGCGTGCCACCCCTCACTCCTCCTCCCTTCGTCCGGCCACCTTGCCTTCGGTCCTACATTTCCTCCTCCGGACGCATCACCTGTTGTTTACTCTCCTCCTCAGTCCCTGTCTCCTCCTCCCATTCTCCCGCACTCCCGTGTCCGTCCTTGTCCCCCGCGTGCCCGTCTCTCGTCTCCCTTTGACGACCTCCGCAATGCCCTTATTTTTTCTAGTCGTCGTTGTTCTCCACATGCGTCTGTTCTCTCGTCTCCTCCTGAGTTGTCTCTTCCTGTCTCCTCTACTCCTATCTCTGACTACTACCGTGCTGATTGTCCATTTGTCCCGCGTGTCATCGCCTCTTTTGCCTCGGACCCTCGTACTCTCCGTTGTCTGTCTTGGCTCTCAATGCCGCTGCCGCTGACTTTGCTGCCACTCGCCGCCTCGACTTCGCCACACGTGTGGTGGCTGCTCCGCCTGCCTGTCCTTTGTCTGACGGGGGTGAGTTTGCCCTTGGTTCTGACGTCATAGGGGACGGGCGGTTTGAGCTGGAGCTCTTCGCAATCGCTTCTGCCTCTCTCTGTGTCATGCTGCTTTCCCCTGGGGAAAACCTCGACGCCTTGACATACCGACTCCTCGCACATACCGTGAGGCAGCGTCATGGCACTGGGCCTCTTAGTGGAAAGCAGTCATGGACTCAGAATGGCGTCTTGGAGATCCACTGGCACCTACGTCGATGCAGTTCCCCCTCCCGGGGCGAACGTAGTCGACAGCATGTGGATCTTCAAAGTGAAACGGCCTCTTGGACCACCGCCTATCTTCAAGGCATGCTACGTGGCTAGATGCTTAAGTCAGCATGAGGGAGTTGACTTCTTTTAGACCTTTGCCTCGACCCCGAAGATGACTACTCTTCGGGTATTACTTCACGTAGCAGCATGTCGGGACTACGAGCTGCACTCCCTCGACTTCTCCACTGCCTTTCTCCTGCCTTCACTGGCACTTTCCCTCCTGGGACCCAGTGGAGCCTGAGACGACTAGTCTACGGTCTCCGCCAAGCGCCCCGTAAGTGGCACGACACGCTACGCACCACTTTGGCTGACCTCGGTTTCCGCCCTTCGTCCGCCGACCCGTCGCTGGTTGTTCGCAGAAGCTCACTCCTTTCTTTTTCCTTGTCTACATCGACGTCTTGGTCTTCGCTACAGCAGACAGGGTTGCTCTGTCTGAGGTGAAGTCCAAACTACAGAAGAGACACACGTGCACTGACCTGGGTGAACTGCGCCGCTACCTTGGCTTGCATATCACCAGAGACAGAGCCGCTCTAATCATTACACTCTCACAGTCACACATGGTGCAGCACGTCCTTCGGCATTTCGAGCTTCAATTCTCTACCACACAGCCCACTCCTCTTGCTATCGACCACAAACTCACCGGCCATTTTCACGACGAGCCCTTTGAGTCTAGTGGTCCCTACGCAGAGCTTGTGGGCTCCCTCATGACTTGTACTCGTTCGGACCTCGCCTTTCCCCTTAGCGTTCTCTCTCGCTTTGGTGCAACTGGGAAACAGCGTCCTGTGCACTGGACTGCTGCTGTGATGGTGGCGAAGTATCTAGCAACTACATCAGGCGAGGGGCTTGTGCTTGGAGGGACACAGCAAGTTGTACTAAACAGTCACTGCACCTCTTCGTACGCCGACGACGTGGAGACCCAGCGGTCTACTCAGGGGTACTGTGTCAAAATGTAATTGTATACATTATTCTATAACTGCCTGTAGTGTAGACTTAGTGTAGTTCTATGTTCTTGTTTGGTGGTGCACCCTCATGCTTGCTTATAGCTTACCTTATTCTATAGTGCAATCACTCTTTTGCCAAACTCTCTCGTCTCATCCTTGCCTTGCTCTAAACCCTAAACCTATGGCTTCTAAGGATGCTCCTAAGCTACTCTAGCTACGCTATTATTTCGACATACTACTCTAGTTTGGGTGTTGGAGCTAAGTCGTGGAGGTCTACTCGATCGTTGTTGTTAGAATAGGCGGGCAGGAATGATGAACTAGGTAGCATGCATGAGTACAAGTACCTAACCCTAAAGTGTTGTACCCCTTGTAGGCTAACCCACTATAGCCTAGAGATAACACAAACATACAGTTTGATACACCCCCATAGGCTAAGTAGGAGATAGCAAACACAACAGACGGTCACACGACCAGTCAGGCAAGAGAACAAAGCAAAGCAAAGCCCAGGGTGGATCACAAGGTCACCACGCATTGTGAGCACAAGCAAGCGGCCACAAGGCCAGTTCACATGTAGAGTTATAATAGCAAGGCAGTACACTGATCACAACCTAGCAAGAGTAAACAAGCAGGTATAAAGATATTTATCAGTGTACAACAAGAGCAAGTCAAGCAACCAGCAGGTGTGGCAGAGTGGGCACAAGCCCAGGAGCTGTGCAGAAACGCTGATGATCACCAGACCCAAGGGCCTTGGTGAACACATCAGCAGTGTTGGCCCGAGAGGCCACGTAAGCAAGGCGCAGCTGACCACGCTGCTGCAGCTCACGCGCAAGGAAATAGCGAAAAGCAA